ATATATATATATATATAATTAATGCCAGATCAGTCATCTGGAATGGTACCTCGATTTTTTTGTTGTTACCCTGATTAAATATTTCCAAGTAAAATTAATATTTTAAAACTTGTATCCTTTTTCATGCTGTAGTATTCACACAAGTCATTTTTTCCCCAGAACAGTTTTTAAAAAATTTATTTCCACTCTGAAAATCAAACTTCACCTGAAGGCTGTTTTTTTTTATATAGCCGCTTGTCTGCCTTTCAGCCCAATGGGATTGGCTGGATAATACTGCACAACTCTCTTGTCCAAGCAGATATTTCTATATTTTTAAGAACAGCTTTTTAAAGATGCCCCCCCCCCCCCCCAGGTCTTTCACGATCTCTGGTTACTTTTAGCGAACATTGGTGGGAGGCATTGTGGACCTGAAATCCTCAGAGTTCTTCCCTCTGGACAAATTGCATTATCCATATTGCTTTGAGATGCCATTCTGCCTTGTGTGAAATCAAATTAAGCCATCCAAGCCCAGGCTGCTGGAAGGTGGATGACAGAGGAAGAATTATGTCATCTTTTATTGTACTCCCTTTATGTCTGAAATAGAGGGTTTCTATTACTTGGCCCGTGAAAGAATTCCTTTTCAGAAAAACTAGGTAACTTTAGAGTTTTTCAAAGCTTCAAATCACAGTAAAGAAAAGGGAATGTCTCAAGGATGCTCTTGTTTCTCCTTTTTAACTGGACCATTGAAGCATGAATCAGTAACAGTAATTCTTGTCTTGGGGGAATGTTGATGGATCTCGAGATATTCTAGAATTAGTCGAGACTCTAAAGCAGGTACATGTGCCTCTGTAAGGTAACGGTAAAGGTTCCCTTGCTCGAAAGCCAGTCGAGTCCGACTCTAGGGTTGCGGTGCTCATCTCCGTTTCAAAGCCAAAGAGCCCGCGCTGTCCGAAGACGTTTCCGTGGTCATGTGGCCGGCATGACTAAACGCCAAGGCGCACGGAACGCTGTTACCATCCCACCGAAGTGGTCCCTATTTATCTACTGGCAATTTCTTGCTCTCGAACTGCCAGGTTGGCAGGAGCTGGAACTAGAGACGGGAGCTCACTCCGTCATGCGGCGCACACTCGGGTCTTCACAAACTCGGGTAGACTTCACAAATAACTGTTCTCAGGAATGGTCTGATGACAGGAGCACGATCTGAAAGGTGAATTCACGTAAGAGTCCCAACTCCTCTTTGATAAACGGAAATGTAGCAGCATTTTCTTGTTCATGGAAGGGAAAGGGGCTCTAACGTGCTGATTCCAAGCTAGGTGGGCACAGCCATGCTGGTGTGAAGCAACAGAACAAAGTTTGAGACCAGGAGAAACCTTCAAGACACAAAGTTTTATCCTGGGTATAAGCTGCCATGTGCGTGCGTTTATCTAGAGAAGTGTGCGTGCAGACAAAAGCTTTTTTTAAAAAAAAACATTCTATTGTCGGGTCATAACCACATTCCCTCATTTCTATTATAGCTCTTTCCCCTTGTTCCCTCCCTCCCCTTCTCCGGGCTTCCCGCAGTGGTCCCACCCCTACCTAATTTCCTTTCTCGTCTAATCCTTCCTCCTAAAACAAAGTTTAATATGTGATTATTATTTTAACTGTCTTTTTCATTATATTCTATCTCATAGGTAGCATTTCTTTAACTACCATCGTCTTCTGTTCAACTCTTTACACATTCTATTCTTAATAATTATTAAAGCACAATAAATTGTTCTTAACACCCCGATATTTCTCTAGATACTCTTTAAAGTCCATCCAGTCTGCAAAAAAAGTCTTCATCTTCTTTGTTGTTAAGTTTCCTTGTCAATTTGTCCATTTCTCGTGCAGATAAAAGGTTATACCCAGAATAAACTTTGTTGGTCTTAAAGGAACCACTGGACTCAAACTTTGTTCTGGTTCTGGTTCAAGTTAAGAAAACATTAATTTCTGAAGTGATTATTACAGAAGATAATACAATAGAAACAGAAGCGAAAAGGCGGGACGGTGGTCTCCGGATTGGTGCTGCCGTTTCAACAATATGTCTTCCTCTGACCAGAAATTGTGCCTTATAAATAAATTCAAAATTATGTGCAATCAATAAATTCACCAATCAATAAATTCATGGCAGCACCAATCCGGAGACCAAGAGCTTACAGAGCTCTTCTTACTGGGGCTATTGTAAGCTCTTGGAGGATTGACTACACTAGAGGTGTGTGGCCTAATATGCAAAGGAGCTCCTGCTACCAGTAGAGCCCTGGGAGTGGGGCATGCACATGCCCAAAGACATACTGCTATGGTGGCTGAGTGGTGGAGAACTTTTCCTCTGGGTAATGTTGGTTAACTTGAGTATCCTGGATAATCAAGAGCCAGATATGAAAGCTTTTTCAGTAGGTTTTTTTTTTAATGCATGAGGAACTGTTGTGCTCCATATTAAGCTGTCTTTAACTGATATTTTCTGCCTTCACTTCTATATTATAGCTGTTGCTACAAAGGGATCCTGGAGGGTTTTTGCCTTGCTCTGGGCCTTGCTCTGGGCATAGAGGAAGTAGGGGGGTGGGGGGGATAGCTGTGGATCTCCTGCATTGTGTAGGGGGTTGGATTAGATGACCCTTGAGGTTCCTTCCAACTCTGTGTTTCTGTGTTTCAATTAATTGTACTAGCACTTCAGTCACTACTTTTTACGTCTTTTACTTACTGACATTCAATTATCTTAATTTTTACTTTTCTCAGGTTGTTCGAAGGACGTTCACCAAGGAAGCCTGAGAAATTGAAAACCCTGTTCTGCTATTTCAGAAGAGTTACAGAGAAAAGTAAAGCTTGTTAATTTATTACTCTTTCTGCACCATGGGTTATGTAGTTCTGCCTGATCTGTCATTTTTAAAATAACTTTTATATCCTGCACTCTCAACTAAAAGCGCTCAGAAATTTACATTAACATAATTACATTACATAAGAGTAACAACAATAAAACACTTCCCCACACACAAATCAACCCAGGTCATTTCTATTTATTGATTATTAAGACCCTAAATCATCCTAGGCCAGTGGTGGCGAACCTATGGCATGGGTGCCGGAGGTGGCACTCAGAGCCCTCTCTGTGGACACGGCGTGCCATCACCCCAGACTCAGAGGGAGGCGGTGACCAACCACCTCTGAACATCTTTTGCCTTGAAAACCCCACAGTGAGGAGACATAATTACATTACATAAGAATAACAACAATAAAACACCTCCCCACACACAAATCAACTCTATAACAGCAAAAAGCAGTGGCAAAAAGCAATAAAAACTAAAGCAATAAACCCAGTAAAGCAATAAATATCAGAGCTGAATCAGTGGACCTAGCAACATCAGCCAAAACAACTCAGGTTCAAGCTCCTGCTCATTCTCTAATGTAATTTATGCCATCATATGTCAGCAGTGCCCTTTCATCCATCTACATTGGACAAATAGGCCAGTCCCTACAACAAAAAATAAATGGACATTAGAAACCACAACATTCAAAAACCAGTGGGGGGACATTTTTAACCTTCCAGGACATTCAGTTGCTCACCTAAGAGTAGCAGTTCACTTACAAAGGAATTTCAAATGCAGATTAGAAAGAGAGACTGCTGAATTGCAACTGATAATGAAGCTCAAGGCAGTGCATCCTCCTGGACTGAATCAAGACCTTGGTTTCCTGTCCTCCACGCCTACTACCTCGGCATATCACACCTAATCTAATCACACCTGCTATTGTCATTTGCCTGCTGTTGTAATTTGGTGTCTGAAATCACTCCACTCTCCAAGATATAAGGACAATTGACTCACATTCTAGCTGTATCTGAAGAAGTGAGCAGTGACACATGGAAGTTCATACCCTGCCACAAATTTCGTTAGTCTTTAAGGTGCTAGTAGAGCTGAATTGGGGCAGACATAAAAACAGTTTTGGAAAGCAACAGAAGGTCAACCATGAGTACTCCATTAGAAGCCCGGGCAAATATGGCTGTGGTCAGCTGGTGCCTAAAGTTCAACAGGCTTGGTGTCAGGCAAAGAGTTTTGGGTAGGGAGTTCCGGACACAGGGTGTTACAGCAGAAAAACCACCATCTCTGATAGCGACCCACTTTGTCCCTGAGATGGGGCACTGAAAGGAGGACCTCTGAAGATGATTGTTCTGGTTCATATGGGAAGAGGGAGTCTTTTCATGTGCATCAGTCCCAGGTCATTTCTATTTATTGATTATTAACACCCTAAATCATCCCTAGGCCATGTCTAATGAGGGTGATAGATGGTTCACTGCCTGTAGTTTATAATCTAGAAGAATGAAAAAGTAAAGGGATGTGGGATGTGAGTGAAAAGGAAACGTAGAAGATATAGGTATTTGGATGGAGTTGCTGGTCATTAAAAATTGCTAGGGAAGGTAGTCACTGATATCATTTCTAGCATGGATGAGGAGCTTTGTCAAAAGCAGAAAGGGATAAAGGGCATGCATGGCAAAAGAATGGCAGGGAGACCACTCCAAATAGACAGTGTCGCAGAAGAAAACAAACAGAACAGAGCTGTAATATAAAGGTGGGGTTCAACTAGAGAGCCTATTCAAACGCTACTTGCTCTCTGGGATGAAATAAGGTGCAGGCGTTGGACTCATGTGCTCCCTGTTGCAGGAAGAGGAAGAAGAAGAAGAGTGCATCAGGAGATCCAGTGTTTGTTGGAAAGCAGGCTCTCCGTAAGCTTATGATATAGATCATGTGCCCCCCCAAAAAAGATATAATCTAGCTGTTAAAAATGTAGCTAGTGTAATGAGAAGAAAGGGGAGAACAGTAGAAATGTCTTGCCAGTATAAAGGTCATGGCTCAGTGTTAGAGCCTCTGCTTGGCATGCAGAAGGTCCCAGGTTTAACCCCCAGCATCTTTAGTCTTTAATGTGCTAGTTGTCTCTTGGTGTTTCCTGTTACCTTTTCCAGATGACCTGGGAAATAGCAAATGGATCGATTGCATGTTGCATCCTTCATGCGGCATCCCCCCCCCCCCCCGGGTAGCTTCAGAGGGTAGCCATGTTGGTCCTGCAGCAGACCAGCTTCATTCGAATCCAGCAGCACCTTAGAGACAGGAAAAGTTTGAAGGGCATAAGCTTTCAAGAGTCAAATCTCCCCTCATCAGATACCTTCATCGGGTATCTGACAAAGGGAGCTTTGACTCTTGAAAGCTTAATCCCCCCCCCCCCACACACACACAATCCTGTCCGTCTCTAAGGTGCTGCTGGACGCAAATTAAGCTCTTCTTCCCAGATAGTATGTACTAAATGTGCTATGTGTCATTAATACAGAGCAAACTTCCCTACCTCCTCATTTAATTGGTTGCCGTTTGTGGGCTCGGGGAACCTTGTGGTAGGAACTCCCATCACCCAGTTTGTATTATTAGTTCGCAGCAGAGGAAAGATGACGTGCCGCATCTGACGAGAGCCACATAGGCCCTCCCATATCTACTTTTAACAGTGATTAACACTTGGAATTCACTGCCACAGGAAGTGGTGGGTGCTACAAGCATGGACGGCTTCAAAAGGGAATTAGATAAGCATATGGAGCAGAGGTCCATCAGTGGCTATTAGCCACAAGGTATAGATAGGGGCTCTGGGGCAAGTGATGCTCTGTCTTCTTGGTGCTGGGGGGGGGGTCAACAGTGGGAGGGCTTCTAATGTCCTGGCCCCACTAGTGGACCTTCTGATGGCACTGGTATTTCTGGCCACTGTGTGACACAGAGTGTTGGACTGGATGAGCCTTTGGTGTGATCCAATATTGGCGTCTCTAATGTTCTTATGTTCTTAAGTCAGTTGTGACTTGCTGGCATTTTCCACCACCGCACACAGATACCTTGCCATTTTATAGCTTTCATTTTACAAAAAGGAAGTGTGTTTACTGTGGCAGTAAGCAAGATAACAAAAGACGTGATTCTTTGATTCACAATTAGCTTTATTTTACTTAGTAACTTGTACTCTCCCTTTGGAGGAAGAAAAATGCGTACTTTGTTGTTTTTTCTTAGTTTAATAAATGAGTGAGATGATTGTAATTCATCCTTAAAATTAGTAGAAATTAAATATCCAATTCCCCAAGCCTTTTATTATAAATAGTAATGAAGTTGATTGTAACACGAGCCCGAGTTACTGAAAACCTAAAGCTCTGCACTCGGAAGGTTGATGTTTAATTTGCGGAACATCATCTCATAATGTTGCAGTCCTCTTGTGGGAAAGGCAAGATGGATGCAAAGAGCACTGCTTTTGAAATAAAGCAAACAAAAATTACTGTTAAGCCTTCAGAATACCTTAGAACATCTGAGAGAGTAACTGAATTCTATTTAACCTTTTCCAAAGAGTCTTTCTTCCCCTAGGTTTGAAAGTCTGTTCCCTCCAGTATTAGCTTGGCAAATCAATCAGCTGGCTCACTGCAAAGTATTTGAGAACTGCAAGAGAGGAGACATTTTCCAGATGCATTAAAATAGCCTTGATTCATACTTTAATTTCGTATACACTGTTAAATTAATTTTAATTCAGTCTAATGTCCGCCAAAGCTCTTGACAGAAACAAAAATCCTATTTGGTTCATTTTAGACTAGGGAAAGGACTATATTTTTAATCGTCTATGTCTTGATTTTTTTTACTTACTTTCATGGTTGCCACA